GATGTTCCAAATTTATTAATCGAAATTTTTCATTTAATTTTACGTTAGCAAAGACACACACCTATATACAGTATTGTTCGAAACCTAAGCAACTTTTTCTTAGTAAGTAATCATGGTCTTTTATTATCTTGTTAAATTGAATTATGAAAATTACTTATTTTATTACCTATTACATTATACAGTCGACACTATACGGTCGACTCCGCTTTACTGAAACGGAAAAAATGGATTTTTGAACTGAAAATAATTTCAGTTATCCGAACTCATCATAAGCGAAACATGTTTTACTTTTACAAATTTCAATAATCTCTATATCATAGCGAATATGTATGTTTTGATTTTTTTAAGAAAATAGACGATAGAAATTAAAACTGGTTAACATGTTCACTGCTTATGGGAATTTTATTATGAACTGTAAAACTTATGAACTTGTAACGAAATCCATCGTCTGCCTGTTGCAATCGTAAGACCTGTCTTAAATACAACGATTGATTTTAAGAACCTAAAATATCGGCCGATTTTAAGTCTTTTTAACAGCTGGCTAAGCTGTAATACCCAATATGAGGTTGTAAATGAGTATAATACTTCCTTGCAAAACTTGTCACCAGACCTCAATCCCATTGAGAACCTTTTCAACATTTTAAAACGAAGGATTGGAACACGTCGCTTTAAAAACAGACAGGAACTAATGAACTGCTTAAAATCAGAGTGAGAAGCTGTACCAACAACAATTCTAACAAATCTTGTAGAGTCAATGCCAAAAAGATGTGCGGCAGTGATAAAAAATAAAGGGTATCATACGAAATATTGAAAGTTGCTTAGGTTTCGAACAGCTGCTTTGTGAGTTAATTTTGTTTTTATTTCTTTATTTTTTTCCAAGGAAATATAATTTAAATTTGTTGTTATTTTCAGATTATAGACACATAGTATAATAGTAAATAAAATATATATTTTTTATAAATCAATTTAACGATATCATATAAGACCATGACTACGTACTAAGAAAAAGTTGCTTAGGTTTCGAACAATACTGTATATATATATATATATATATGATGCCGAACCAATACATCATGGTCCTTATATTCATGAAGTACAACTTTTTCATTCCATCGAAGTCCATTAAGGACATTTTATACTAGATATAAAAAGTTGCTGACATTATATTATTGTTACATGTCTTTCTGAAGTTTTCTTACACCTTGACCAAAACATTCCAAAAAGAATCCATTTTTTTAGTTACAATTAACTTCCCAATTCGCCCTTACCAAAGTACCGTGAACATTTTACACAAACTATCAATATATGTAAATGTTAGATATAGTCAAGTAATGTGTAGACAGATTATTTTCGTTTTTCATCTAAACCATTTCCATAGAGGCGATTCGAAGTTATTACACCTCAGATGACAAAACTTTGTCCTGTAGCCAATATATATTCAGTTAACCATTCCTTTGTCCAATCAAGTCTTAAAAGGGTGCGATTTATGGATGGCAAACACGCAAACGAGAAATGAAATACAAACATGCTAAGTTATGAATGAACTTGATTGCGGTGCTTTGTTCAAAAATTGTACCACTGAATTTCACAGAAACAAACAGATAAATCTAAACTTATTGGTCATTGTGGTCAATGCTCCTTAGCGCATGTGATACATCATATGTTGTAAATACGAATATACGATATACTATGTATATACAGCTATAGACAAAGATATATGTATGTACATATGCATGTAAATACACATGTTTGTTTGGTAGATTGATTTTGTTTTAAAGATTCATTTAAGCCGTGAGAAAGTCGATCACATGCTATTAACAATCCGCCTGTCTTGTAAACCGCTTTCAGTTTCATCCAAAATCTCATTTTCTTATCATTTTTCTCATGAGATACGCAACGGCCGAGAACAAAAAGAAGAAACTGCAGGAAGTCTTCTCCAGACACGACAGCCAAAACTAGGAAATATTCAATTACTAAACCCAATGTTGACTCTGTTGTCCTTCTTAGTGGAGTATTTTATGCAATTATGCCCCCCAACGCAGCATGTCTACTTTTTACAATCTGTTAACATGACGCGGACAAACGTTTTTCTTCATCACACATATGTATACATATACATTCGTCTGTATGTATTGCATGTCACAGGGTTTATTTAACTTTAAGGGACAAGAAGTAAATGAACCATGAAACTCATTGAAAAATCGACGGTAGTAAGAATCAGACGCCTTTACAAAAATATTTTTTTAAGTCTGGGTTTACCTTTTTAAGAAACTCTGCTGCTGCTCTCCACGATTCTCTTTTGAATTTCTTCTTGTCAATTTTTATACCTCTCTCTTCTAAAAACTCAGCAACTCTGCTTACAAAAGTTGCATGTGTAGGCCCCGAGGAAACGGCACTATTTTCATAAATATTTGTGTCTATGTTTTAAATGAATTTTCAGTTAACCGGGATTTCTTTCAATCGAAGTAACGTGTTTCGAAATTCATCCGAAATATCGGTTTATATTTATTAATTTCAATTAACGGGTTTTTATTTAACCGCGTTCACTTATCCGATATAAATCGACTGCTTACATACTGTTTGAACTTTGTTGATATTGCGTATATAGCATTAACAACGAATTTGGTATCTATGCCAAATCGAAACCCATATGTCCGGGCATTTTAATACAAACATACTTGCACATGTATGTGTACGTGTATATTTGTCCCGTTGCCCCCTTCTTCACGTGCTTGTCAGATTTTAACATATCCTTATTGGTCCTAGTTTCCCTTCTTCTCTCTGGTCTACACTGCTGTCATTGGTATTGTTGTTGGATTTGAGCCCTGTTACCACAAACCAGTTGTAATTTTGCTCTTAGAAACATTTAATAGTCGTTTGTGGTGTTTTTCTTTCAACTTTTTTAGCAGTTTTGAATTGCTACAACTTTTTGTGCTCTGGCTTTGCTAATTGTGGGAGTATTGTCGAACAAGAAAATTGAACGAAAAACAGCCGTTGGTTTTTAAAGCTCCTTTGACATACTTTTTATTCCAAAATAAACGTAACTTCTGTCAAAGGGGAAGGGAACTTTTTCCTGTTCGTTGGTGGTGGATGGTTGTGAATGTGTACTTCTTATGGCACGTATTGCAAGTTCGTCCACAAGAATTCCTTAACGAAGCGCCTTCAACAATATATCCTTGCTTACATACATATAAATTAGTACGATGTATTTGATTTGCGTGTGTGTGTGTGTTTTTGTTGTTCTCCTTCGAAACCTTAAAAAATGTACAATTTCCTCTTTTGTTTGTAAAAGAAATTATCAATCTGTGGTTTTTATTGAATTTATTGAGCAACGTGTACGCACACACATAGTAGCGAGTTATAAAGCCACCGCAAGAATTTCTATGTTAAACATTTTTACGTCGAAAATAGTTATTTTGAAAAATATTTAATAGCAGTATAGACGTACTATGGGCGGTCATATAAATATATAGATTTTACAGTGCAATATTGCAATGCATTCCGGTAATAACATAAATATGGAAAGATACATCCTTAGAAAGTAGAAAGTCTGTGAATGTGCCATGTAAATAGTAAAATAACAATCAAATCCTTTAACGCATTTGTGTTTCAAGCGATAATTGGCCAGTATGGAGAGCTGGGAGGTTGAGAGCATACGCGTAGTATTTCAATTATAATTATCGGTTTGATGGGCGTCGCGTGATTCGTGCGAACTCGCCACCTGGATGCGTAAAATGTATACATGGCCACAAGCATTTGGTCTTGCCATGAAACATACTGTCACACATATATCCTCCATAGTGTCATCATCATCATGACGACAATCAATGATAGTCGTACATTTTGTGTTGATATAGCCGGACACAGGCTAAGTTTAGCACTGACTACACGTTCCTGACTATACACACTAACAACATAAACAGCTATCCACGCTTAATGGCACAGAAACCCGTGCAAATGTTTTTTTTTTTCAAATTCACTTGGCATATTTCGATACATCCATTCCGCTTTTAAGCTCTTCAAGTTTGGACCACATGATATGTCGGAGAAAGATTCCTTTTTCGAAACGGAAACGAGAATAAAATCTTCTATTTACCCAAATATGCATAACTATTATGTATATTAATGCCTTACACTAAGGACACTGATGAATAACTTCCTTAGTTCTTAAATGAATTGAATTTTTAATTTTTTTTAATAAAAACAAATTGCAAACACCTAAGAAATGTTTGTATAAATTGCAGTATAGAGGGCGTTGACTGTGCTTAAAAGTGTGGACTTTGTATATATGCACGGATTGTGCATAGACGCTAAATCAAAATTAACGAGGTACTAAATGATTACATGTCTGAGATAGGTAGGTACTAGATGTGCAGATATTATTTTCAATTCGAAAGTTGTTGTACGCTGCCTTTCATGCGATTTTCTATTATTGCAATTATCTACGTCGATTTCTAAACTTTGCTCCTTAGGCCTGGTAGTTTGGAGATTCCATTGTGTTTCGTGGCTGCAATTCGGTATACTAGTTGTGCGAACACAAAATGGAACGTGACCACATTCATATTTACCAAAGAAACCATAGTTGTTATTGTTGTTGTTATTTACTTGTTTGTATAATTTAGCCTCATTTAAGGGAACAATTCATTCGCTGGCAAAACGAGTCAAACTCAAGCTCAATTCACACTGACACTTTGCGAACATTTTGACAGCCATCAAAATGAGGCAACCGCACCACTAAATATAAGTGCAGCAGTTATTCGCTCATTATTATTATTATTTTTTTTTACTTGACAATATTTGGGCTTTTGTATTCAAGCTCTACAAAAACAAAGGCATTTCGGTAAACAGCAACAACGGAGGTGATAATGAATGTCCTTGACAGCTACTAAACAACTAAGATAAAAACAGCAAACGCTGAACTGCCATAACTTATCATAGACCAACACTTTTGACGAACTTGAGGCTTGGGTGTTGGGATATTGTAGAGGGTATGGACTTACCTTTGTCATTGGGATCGAATTCAGCCTCCAATTCCTCTTTAGTTGGTTCGTTCTCTGTAGCAGCTGCTGCAGTGTTATTTGAAGAGGTGGCTGCACTATTGGTTTCCGACTTCTTCATGGTGGCTCGAACTTGGTGTCCCCTAAAAACGGCTTGAATTTTAGTGGCGGCCTTAGCTGCGGAATACAGAAAAATAATCAAATAAACATGTAGCAGTAGTAGTATCAGGTAAATACATATTGAATAGCAACTCATTCTGAAATCTATTACCAACTATGGATTTGTTTTGAAATTGTAATTGAAATCAATAGAATTTTGCCGCAAACGCAAACAATTCCACTTATTCATATATTTTTATTGCCAAAGAAACACAGAAAGTAAACCATCAAATCAAGTCCACGAGCCAAATTACATCAGCAACATCGTCACACCAGTTCACTTCCTCAGCCATACACGCAATAATGTTTGTTATTCGAATCACAACAAACAATTGTTTTGTTTTTTGTTTTTATTGTCATTAATCATTTATAGGGATTTGCATGCTTTAGCACCTGATAAAATATTTATTCGGTATTGCTGAAGTTGCGCAGCCCAAGTACACACGGCCACACGCTCTCTAAACCGTGTTCCATTATGCGAATGTCGTCCCTAAATATCTTTGGCCCGTTAAGGAATGGCCATAAATTATGGAATAACAAATACAAAATAGAAAGCTCGCTGTCGGAGAATGAGTTGTGAAATTTATGAGAAACTCTCACACACATACGGCGGCCATTCACAACCACGAAGCGTTCACCATGGCATAAAAAATGAAACAAATGGGATGCATAAATAGAATTTGCAAACAGAATATGGTAGCCTCTAATGCCAATTTAACGGCATTTATTTAACAGCGGATGCCAGCTAGTAAATGAAGATTACGATTTTGCACACGCAAGTAGTTCGGATGGGAATCGCTAGTAACGGCGACGCTGACTTTGGTGGATTTAAAACGTTCAATCCCCCTTAAAATTCCAACCTATTGCAGCGACATTGGCACCAGATGTAATTTGTGTTGTTGTTTTTGTTTTTAATTAATGCTAAACAAGCTATTTCCGTTAATCACTATTCGAAGAGAACAAATTTTCATCTACTTGGCTAGTTCCCACCCATATTTGTAAGCAGTTTATACTTTATCAAAAGCATAATACGAATTTAACGAAATAGTTAACATACGATGTGAATGGACAAACAAACTGGAACTGGATCAGCTAATATGTCATTTGATTTTAAACTCTGTAATAATTGGTTAATGTCTGGTACAACGGAACGTATGGATTTTTTTATTTAACAATTGTAACAGTATTCATACGAAACCTTTCCTTTGTATATGCTCGATTGAGTGTTTTTGGAAAATAGATACTCCGACGAACTGGCTCATTGAAATAAAATAAAAAAAATCAAGTAAAGCGTTGGCAGTCCCTTTATAAGCGATTTGCGTCGATTGAATAGGTACTGGCTGAGCGAGTTCGATAATAAAATAAAATGGAAAATTTGATAAGATTTGTTTAAGGAAATTCCAATTGGCCACCATCCACATCTAATCACAACAAATGATTTGCACTACAAACAACGCTGTAAAAAATATAAGATACATCGTGAACTACGTATCCATTATTAATGTTAAGTGATAATGTATAGATAGGCGTATTAATTTTAATTTGTTTGGTAATACAGATGCCTATTATGCATGTATTCCTTTATATTTTTGCCATTTTCCCATTTGAGATGAAATCGTTTTTGTTATTTTCCAGCTTTTGTTAATAAATGTTCTAAGAGGGAATTGTCTTTTATTTGCCATGAAATAAAAGCATTAAAGGCTTTTGTTTTACAGTTGTAACCAGAAAAAACCAACATCGAAGAGGTTTTTTTATTCGTCTTATTTTTCTGTCCATACAAGTACAGAGACTCAGTTACATTCGCAACGAGTCTTTTTGTGACATCTATCGATTTATTCATTTGGCTTATAACATTTTCGGAGATTATAAATGTACTTCGGTGTCAAAATTTTTGGGAGCGCTTGTTCATATTTATGGATGTATATATGTATCAAACATTACACAGACACACGCAGTTAAGAGTCGAGGCAAATGTTTATAATGTATTTGAAATAAAAAGCCAATGGTTGCAGAAAACACGTTTTGTGGCTGGATGAATGGAGGGGAAATGACCATTCGGTCGCCCTTCCCGCTTCATGGTTACACAACAGTCAATCTTTCCAAGCTGGGGTATACATATGAAGGTCAAGAGTGTATCGCCATTTTCCTCATTCCCCAGGCAGCCAATTTCTTGTGCTCTTTTTACCAGCAAATTGATAAAAATAACATTTTACTTGGGGTCTTATAAATTATGCACGCTAAGTGATTGGTATACATACACATATTTAGCCATATATATATATATATTGTAGTACATGTTATATAAAAATAATTTGTTTAATAATCCAAACAGTATTTGAATAAAGCATTTTCACAACCAATAGAAAATTTCGACTTTAATCGCCGTTGGAATAAAATTAAAAGTTATATTTAAATGTGGAAAATACATAACAAACAAATTTTAAACTGCAAGAATCTTGTTTGGAAATTTATTAATTTTAACCCAAATGCCCAAAGGTCGCAGGGATATAGGGCGTTGAGAGCGAGATTAAGAACATCCTTTTCATTCATTCGCTATTATTGATAAAAATAAATTAGTTAGATGTTTTAGGTTTGCTCTGCGCCATAAATTGTTCCCTAGTTTCGAACCACTGCTGCCTGCAAGTGGTTATATGCCATTTTTAAAGACGCCATAATTTGTATCACCTTTCCAAGTTTATCGCCGATTGTTGTTTTTCATCCCTTGTCTAGTTCAAAGTTCTTATCACCACATCACATTCAGTATCTTGTTCTTCCTTCATGCAAAGCAGAAAGGCTCTACCTTTCCATTCGAATGTATATAGCACACCTGCGATATTTTTCAGGCCAACATAAATGTGGTTGATTGGTTGATGATGAAATGTATTCATTCGTGCGATACTCAGTCACACGTTGAATTCGCCATAACCATGAATGCTTTCACATCGATGTTGAAGGTTTTACACAGCGAGAGCTTGTACTGTTCGTTTTGGCGACCGGAATCAAAGGAGGCAAATCCGAAACTATACAGCCTTATTCTGGATGTCAATTCCACGTGAATTTACTCGCCCTTCGTCCTACTGAACAACATTTCTTTGTGAATTTTTTTCGCATTCTCGCTTTCGCCTTATTCTGAATGAAGTTCGAAAGCGAAAAAATCCGCTTTGGGGAAAAATTAGGTATTCTGGATTACAGGGAGTAGGAGAATGAGATAAAATTTTGTGCGAAATTTTTCGCTAATAAATTCAAAGTGAGTTGACTACAAAAACATAAGTTATAAATATTTTTATGAAAAATATTAACACAATACATATTCTATGACGATTTAGAATATTATAAATGATAATAAGCAAATATTTATCTGGAAAACAGCAAATAAAATGCCTTTGGAAATCCTATTGATAATGATGACTGCTGAACCAAATATTGCCAAATGTATAAGGGTAATAATGAATATTTAAGTCGAGTTTGATGCATTTGGGAGGCGAAAAACAGACATTTTGGTTGAGGATCTGTCTCTCAAGAAAAAAAAAAATTGTAGAAAAACCAAATTTGCCTAATGAGCCGCTTAGCAGTGAAAACTTAAATACAAATTATGAAACAAAAAAAAAAAAAAAAAAATACAAAAAATATATATATTTTTTTAAATGATCGTTTGCATTATTTGAAGGAAGAAATAAAGGAGTAGGTCACTTTAAGAATTTGGAGAGATAAAATATCGAAATTAAATTAAAAGGCACACAATTATGTGCCTGTGTTTTTGCCATCATAAAAAATGTTCTTTTATTTGTAATCTATTGTAGTTGTTGCACCAAATTGAATCAAAACAATGAACAGCTGTTTCACATGTCATATTGTAGGTTGTCATATTTTCAAACTTTAATTAAATTTCTTTTAATTATAAAGCATTTACAAAGCGGATTCTTGATATTTCAAATTTGTATTGTTATAAAGTTTAAACAACAATAACAAGTAACAATTTTTAATAAAATAATCAATAAATAAAATATTGAAAAATATTACACAATTAAAATACAATAGGGCAACATACATTACAACTTAAATTACAATATGGCAACACACATTACAACTTAAATTATAATATGGCAACACGAATCTTTTTTTCAACCACCATTTTTGAAAACTCGAATCCGCATCTCGCATTTTTTGCGTCTCCCTATTCATTCAGAATAAGGCGAGAATGTGAAAGCGAACATTTTTGTGCATGCGAGATATCTCCTAGCGAATATCCAAAATAAGGCTGATAGCCTTTTTAGAAACCCAAAAACTCGCTCAGTCACACCAAATTATAAAAATGTTCTGCAAAAACGTTTAGTTTTCAAAACGTCTTCTGTAGGCCTTCATCAAAAGCGGCTATAATATTTTTACAAATATTTTTAATCAAGCTACATGTTGTTGATATATATATATATAAAAGAGGAGCACGCATAAAATCTCAAAAAAACGAAATTAAGGGGATACCGTTATATGGGGCAACCCTTAAAGGTGAACCAAAATTTATCATTTTTGGTAAGAATATAAAATGCGAACCCATAATACCAAATTACAGGTAATTTGGTTAACTTTGACATGTTATTTGTAAACCGTGACCTACAATGATATAAACATTTATAGTACAAAATAACACGTTTTTTTCTCTCTAACCGAAATGGACTTTTTGCAAAAAAAAAAAAAATTGGTTTGCTGGCCCATATTGTGATGACTGAATATCGACAAATTATAATGGGGGAATTGGAAAAGGTCTTAAAAGTAGACAATTGATTTGCCCCAGTTCTCCAAGAATCTACTAATTTGAACTCTTCTTTTCGATAACATAAAGGAAATTTGTTATCGTAGTAAAAAATGTACATTCTTGCAGCATCTGGAACAGATCAAATTTATTAAGTGCTATTACTTATCTTATACATACATATATGCATATATACGAATAATTTACAATGGAACTTTATTTGAGTTCCAGTTGTTGCCAATGAAAATGTGCCATTATTTTGAGATTTTTGTATACCAAGTATATATCACAAATTTGCATTCCCTTTCCTTGCAGGTGAAAGTACACCATCCCTTTATATTTCATGGGGT